TATAGCTTTATATGTTATCAAACAGCTCAACCATTCAGAATAAGCCAGAAAAACCAAGGTACACCTATCTTGTCTGAATTTAGTTTCAAATTGTCACCTGTAACATTCAAATGGAACATCTGATATTTAAATCAATCCAGGACATAAAACTCTAACTGGAACAACACAGTTCAACACTACCTGAAGGCATTGTGATATCTGTAATTAGCTCATCAAATGACACTATTACAAATGCAAGACATACAGCTTTCCAAACAATATTTCTTCAAAAATCAAAACAAAATCAAAACCCAAATGCAAGGGATGAGCCCTTCAACAAAAATTAACATGTAACATACATTGACAAATGCCTAGTGCTCAGAGAAGTCTAACCAAAACTAGTTTGTAAATCATGAGTAAAGGTGGAACCCTTACAGAGACTATTTTACAGTGCACACAGTGCACACATCTTACAGGCCTTACCAAGTCTCGTCATTATTCTTCATTTGCAATCATTTGGTATCTATTCCAGTCTACGTCACTGTCAAAAATTAACTTTTCAAGTCTTTGAAAGAAAGTTCTTTAACATAAATTGAGCCACAAATAAATTATGACCTGGATATTCGATCCTTTGGAAGAACACTTACATTGTGATATGATATATATAGATATATTCTGAATTATATTCTAAATATTCATTCTGCTGAAGGGTAAGTCCATTATCTAAATGGTAGTCAAACAATCTCCCCTAAATTCCATTATAGGGTTAATCCTCATTTATGATGTCCACTACTACAAATCTGTCAAGCATAGTGGTACAAACAATTTAATATGTATGTATGTGGCTTCAAGCCACAGCAAAGCAAATTTCACCTTTCTTTCTACGGGACTTTTATACAATGCCTAAAATGTTTCTAAAATCACACCGGTACTTAATATTAAGCATTGAACACTTTGATGCACTGGTCTAATATAAACATCAGAACATGTACATGTATACTAATTGCCATGGGGTAATCCAATCTTTGTCAGTGCTAAGGCACCCAAATGCCCTCAATGGGCAATGCATAAACTTGATAATACTAAGATCAAATAACTTCCCTATATAAACAAACACTGACTTTTGGAAAATCTCTTCATATAGGAAAGTGGATCATCAGTAGTTGATTAAAATAAACTCAATGCAATCTTCACAAAATACCCAGGACACGTCAAACTATTAAATTTGTTGACGCTTCAAATCTCCTTACATGAGAAAACTTAAGAGATTTGAAGACTTTCACATATTACTGTAAATTCTGAGTTGTGAGGGTCGATATCTGCCACTGATTGGAATTTTTCATGAAACCTTTGCACTTCAAAAACATATAATGGCATTTTCTTAATTCCAGCTGTTCCTACTGCGTCACATTGTGCTTAATTACGTGCCACTATACCTTAATAAACACTTAAACAGGTTGCACCATCTTCAAACTTCCTATATGAATAAATAGACTTCTGATCACCAACCAGAGTTTTTGAAGCACATGTTGACCCAATCCCAAACCCTGTTGCTTCAGTTTCTGATCATTCATGACAAGGAACTAAAAATCTCAACAGCAGCATTATTAACTTCACAGAGAGCCACTATTAATGGAAATGTCACTTGCATTATAAATAGATATTGGCAATAACCAATTAAAGCCATAAATCCTCAAGCAATCACCAATCAGATGGCCTCTCCCATACCTGCTCATCTTAGGCTTCGTCTGAGTCACTGTCATCGTGCTCTAGTGGTGGGGGTGAAGAGCTACATGTGGGGCTGGCTGGGGGTGAGATGGCATTCCTGAGACGATCAGTTCCATCCACAAACATCCTTTTCTGCAGAATAAGTGATTTAATAACATCAAATGAGGCGCAAGGAGTCCAGCAATGCTTGTCACTCAAAGGTGCTAGCGACTTATCATACACGCAACAACGGCAGCATGTACACTAATTCCCATGTCAATTAAAGGTGGTCCATTTTCAAATAATTTAGTAATGGTATATTAGTAACTGCCTTGAACTGAATATTTGAAAACTACCAGATACGTTTTAAACACATTACTTGCAGCTGCTTGTTGCACTGCTCAGACATCTTATATTCAGGGCTAATTAAAATCTGCATGCAGTGATCATTATCTGCAGACTCTTGATTGTTATTTGCGGGTATCTGCTGTATTAATATCCAAAACATTAATTGTTTTTAACTTTACATGGTTATTGACCAAGGAAGTTGTTGAGAAATCATTTGAACCAAGTAATTTCACTTCAATCCTTGAAGACTCTTCTTAAGCCAAGTTTCTACTTTCATTAACCATTAACATAACTAGCTTAGCAAAGACAATTCAGAGTCCCTTTCTGTCATATTCATCTACGTTGACTGCCAGACACAAGGTCATTTTGGGTAAATTCCATTCCAGCAGTTGTAGTTTTCAAGTACAGCTAACGTACACGTACATGTACATGAACGGCAAATTTTGGCTCTGTCCATACATACAGTGTATGTCTTTATATAATCAACTGCTCAAACAGGCAAAAACTACTCGAATGCGCAGTTGATGATTGAATATTCTTATATTCAGTACATTGAAGACAGCACTAGTCAAAAAGCCATTTGCGAGTTAAATTTGAATAAAATCTGGAACACTGAGTTATTTGATTGCACACGAACGTGACAATTTTAATTCCCCAGGCTAAAGTCACCGTTGCTATACCTCCTGATTTGGGGCAAGCTTTTGCATAGCGACCACAATCTCTGGAATGGACTGGTTCCTTTGTGTCCTTCTTATCCACTGAAAACAGTGTTCTGAGGCAAGACGTCTCCTATGTAACTAAGCGAAAGCTTGCCCCGAATCAAGAGGTATGGCAACAGTGTTTTTAGTATGGAGAATTGAAATTGTTTTGTTTCCGTGAATTTAAAGAACTCAGAGTACCAGATTTTATTCAAAGGTCACTCGCAAAAGGCTTATTCAGAGAGTGGGTAACATTTAGCTCATTTTGAGCTAAAATGACACACTTTTGTCACCACTGATATTGAAAAGATACACCTGTGCTTGGATGTTACATGGAAAAATTGTAGATTTGTGGAAAGACGAAACTGAAGATCCAGTGAAAGAGAACATTTCAAATCCATGCATCAAAAACTAATGAGTTGAGGTCTGTACTTTTTACCACAAAGCGTGGTTTGTAAAAAAGTCAACTCAAGTATAAGGTGATCACCCACATTCTCCAATCTAGAGAATCTGATTTTACCAAATGTTGATGAGTAGAGTGGTTACCAATAATCCTGAAAAAATGGTAGGTCAAGCTTAATGAGATCTCAAGACACTACGAAATGTAGATCGGTTAAAATAGGGTTAAATGTCTTTTTTTCGGTTAAAAAGTAATCCACCTTGATTTTAACCTTGTTTTAACTGCCAGGATCAAGCCAAAATGTTCACCCGATTTTAACCGTGTTTCAACCGAACCCACCACACTTCAAGCCTTAATCCTCTCCTGGTCTGTCGGCAGTCCAAACGGACAGTCAGCCATTTTAACCGTGTTTTAACGGTGGAGAGATGGCGTGCTACAAACTGCAGAGTCCCGTTGGGTAAATCCACTTATTACCTAATTAAAGAGTTGTTTTGGGGGAAATGTCAATCATCTTCTTTACGTTCTACAAGTTGGAAATTGGCTTCAATGCATGTGGAGGTATTTCCACACCCGTTTACACGATAAATTCACTGATTTTTGACATATAAAGCAACGAATTAATCAAATAAAAACGATACCTGTGTCTGGAGTATTTTATTTAAAGCAAAGAACTGAAGTTTTATTGGTATAGTTACCATTCATAGTCCTTAATGACAATTAATCAGAAGTGACTGTTTTTTTGCGTGCACAAAATCAATTGCGCTAGAGCTAAAATCCAAGATGGCGGCACCCATTGTCTGATGTTAACCATGAGTCAAGAGTGCAGAAGCTTTTACCGATTAAAAACTCCCGATGGCATCAATGGCAGCTTGGTACTGCCGGCCCATAAACCCCAACAAATTGGCAACAACTTGGCAATCTTGGCAGAAATTCTTCAGCAGACAGCGCATGGCTAACGAGCTGCCCGCATGGTACGGCTCCAGCTCCCCGCCCATGTATTGAATCGATGGGCTGGTCACATCATGTGAGCTACACTTGACTGTGTGACGCATGATATCACAGGCATGCTTTTCTAAACGTGCGTGGGCCGGGGCGGTAAAAGGTGCACAGGGGCGGATGCTGACATAAACTGATATTGCAATGGATGGCGATCACCTTGACCGGCTTGTGTTGGCCAGTTGTCAGTATATTTGTAATTTGAGGAATTAAGCATTCTCACCTTCTTCAAATTAAATCTCACACTGCACTTTTTGATCTACAGTCTACTGCAAATTCCTGGTTAGAAATCTCTCAATGCCCCGTCCCCAAGCTTAGAACATCCTTTTCATTATTATCTCAGCCAATAGCAAGAATGAAAAAGACGTCACATGCAAATTGGGCCGTATCTCTACGCGAATGGGGCCCAGGTTCCCTTGGGTTTGCGTCTATCGAGCGCAAGTCCGATTCAACCAGCATCCAATCAAAACTCACTCTGGATGTCCATTTCTAACTTTATTGGCCAAGTATGGCACGTAAGGGTGTGCATGCTGAAGATTTGCATGCATGATATTGTATGAATATACATAAGCACAAATGTTGTGAGAATTTAGTATTGTAATGCATCTGAAATGCCATACCTACCGGTACAATATAACTCTACATGATAAATTCACAGATTTTTTACATATAAAGCAATGAATTGATTGAATAAAAACGATACCTGTGTCTGGAATAGTTGATTTTGAAATCTCACCATCATGTGATGTGGGACGCCATCTTAAGTTTACTTTACATGTACATAATACATGTACAGTGCATGTACATGTATTACGTACAGTACAGGAACGTGCATGTGTGCATTGTACAGTCCCTGGTTGAGCTAGGCTGATTTTAGGTTCGGTTCGGCGGTTTGGTTGAAGGACGAGTTGGTAGCAAAAATATTCACGATATGCGGAAGGTCGGGCACATTCATGAGGCTGCTAATTTACATAAGCTTGCATGTTGCATTCTATCCGCAGATCGACCGGTCGAGTCTTGAAGGGCTCGATTGTTCGGCAGGGATTTGTGAGGCGTGAAATAAAATGTTTGTATCCTGAAGTACATGGGAGGCACGACCCCTGAAGACTAATACATTCAGGTACAGGCCAGGATAGGCCTATGAAGTGCTGAGTACCGATGCAAAGAACTTGCTTGTATCAATCAGTGGTGATTAAAAGCTACATGTATTTAGTATACCGTTAGGGATTAGGGTGGGGCAGCTTATTAATGCGGTATGATCACCATGTACAAAGGAACTCATCTGACCTTGGGGGATTATACTCCACAAAACAGACCGCACAGTGTGATTCCCCAGAAGGTTCCTGTTTTAACCGAATAGCCAGCCTGACTATCCGAGCTGAAAAACCACAAAACTGACCAAAGAGTCCCCTTCTATGCCAGTTTCCAAAAACAATCCCATTTTAACAGTGTGTTTTTGGTGCCCCTAGTGTAACCGAAAATGAACATGGTTAAATTGAGTGAGCAGACGGCATACACCAGTTTTAACCGAGAAACTGCATTTTAACCAGGCAGAAATTCATAGTGAGATACTGGTATCCCCCGTTACAGATGGCATGTGTAAAACTGACTTGTCCATGGGACTTTCTTCAACATGCTGCCCTTAGTTTGCAATACACATGAGTGCTCTGTCTTGCATGTGCTGCAATGCATGTTGCATTAGGTGCTTTCTTCTGATTGCTGTGAAGGTATTTTCAATTCGCCGTCCGAATTCATTTATTGTCCTTGGAGGACCTTTGATGTACATTCTGGATTTGACATCACCCCAAAGCCAAAAATCTAATGGAGTGAGGTTTAGTGACCTCAGTGACCATTTTATTGGATGACCAAGTCTAGTTACCTGGTTGGGTGAAAGTTCTTGAAGCTGGTTATAAACTACTCCTCTGCTGTGAGCAGGAGCTCCATCTTGCACAAACCATGCCCATTGAATAGCTCCATTACGCTGTTGCCCCAAAATAACCTGCGGCTGGGGCTCTAGCATCGGATTGATAATGTTCAAGTAGGTAGCCCCATTTAACCCTCAAAGAGCTGCGTTACTTTGACCCATCTCAGATTCTGCCCACCTAAGAACTTGGCTGTGCCAAGCCTGATTTTTTACACTCAGCTTGTATATACTGACACTCCTTATCATTACAAATGTGAAGTTTGAGCTCAATTGCACATAGGGTTTTGTTATTAGGTCATATGAAGTTCAAGGCTCCATGCATGCCAGTACGCGTGCATTGAGCACCACAGTGGAAAAAGTATACATTTTTGGAGTGACCTGTCTCTGAACATGTGCACTGCGCGAGAACGATATGTTTAACTTTTGCAAAAATGGTGTCAAACTGACTGCAGAGAATTACTCTGCAAAGAAAACTTGTAAAGGCTCAATCTCTAAAAAAAAAAAAAGCTGCACTGCAGAGATATTGGAAAACATGTGGGGGGGGTGGATTCCACCCCTGGCTCTTTTAGGGCTAAACTGCCATCAATAAATACACGTCCAATGCAGCCAAAACTACAAGTTTTTGACGATCATCAGGCCTGTCATAGACAAATGCAACAATGTCCCATGCATGCCAGACAGATGTTTCAGACAGACTATGCCAGGAAATACTTTCAAACTTCAAAAGGTTTAAGAAAAGGACTGTCAAAAATGGATAACTTTATATGTCTTCATTGTGTTCAATCATACCTACGTGCAATGAAGCTCTTGTGGACAAACCAGATTTGTACATGCATGCCATCTGTAATGGGTGATATCTTGAGATCCAATTAAGCTTGACCTACCATTTTTCAGGATTATTGCTCAGCACCCTACTCATCAACACTTGGTAATACAAATTCTCTGCATTGCAGGATGTAGGTGATCACCTTAAACTTGAGTTGACTTTTTCAAACCGTCCTGTATTACAAATATTTCTTATTCATACATTCCACACACCTACATCCTTATGATTAGGAAAATGGGAACCACTGTAGTGTGGAAGTATGTCCAGGCCATTACTCAGGGGATGATTTCTTCAAAATCAAGTTGTGGGAACAAAAATGTCTCCCCTTAACTTTTTACTCCTCACAACATCTACATGTATGTTTTATAACTTGTGTGTTTCGTAACTTGTGTGGTCCCCACAACTACAGAAAACGTATTGTGTGTATACACATCACCCCTGCCATTAGCAATCTCCGCATGAAACCACCATGGAATATCATTGCAGTTTTACGTGTCCTCCAGCGTCAACTGGTCAAGACAGAGTTGACTCACCAATGTGCCGTCCGATCCAAACAAGTCCAGGAAGTTGCCGATCATCTCCCGTGACTTCTCTTCCCAGCGCTGGATCAGCTCGCGTCCTTTGTCTTCCACCTTCTGCACAAACTCCTTGGACTTTGTCTCCACCCTGTTAACCTTCTTCTTCACCTTGTCCACTCGGTCTTGAAAGTTCAGGCTGGTTTCCTTTAAGCAAACGTGAGGGGGAAACAATCCACTGTCATTTCCATGGTTTCGTGTGGTAGTCATTCTAAACAAATCTCAGGGTTAGATATTGAAGAGGCTGTATCCACTTGGTTTGACTGACCTCAAGGGTCAGGTTTGATCCAGTATTAAGGTTTGAAACTATACTCTGGGGGCATTTTTTGTTCGCTTTTCAATAGAAAGTTTTTTCCTCATTTTGATGCCTCAGTTGCTGGATTGCGTAGGAAACTATGGGTACATCTAAAATGGAATTGGTTGAGAGAAATGTTCCCCTTGATTTGTGCAGATCATTTCTTTTTCAGCGCATAACGTTTCAGAAGGGTGTGCTCAGAGTTGCAAAGGTACTCCTGTACCTCCTACGAAACTGCTTTTATTTCCATGAGGTTGATGATTAACACCTGCACGTTAACCTCAGCTTAATGAACCAAAAGCTGGCACAGATTCAGCCCAGGCAATATGACAATGACTGCTAAAGGAAACCTCCAAACTAGCAGTCCTGTGGAACCTGTGAAAGGCTTAAGTACTGGGATTGATACAAGCTTAGTTAAAGCTAAGTACCTCTCTTGCATGAGACCTGCTTGTTTTCCAAGACACAAACGCACATTTATGGCAGTTGCCACATTATCCTGCTTCCATATCATGACCCTTGTTCTAGATATTCTGCACCTTCCAGACGCCTCAAAGGGTCTAGGTGATGAAATTTTCTTAGATGCATTTTAAATGCAACTTTCTTAAATGCAACTTAACCACTACCAGCC